AATCTTTAACTCGGGCCGCGGCCGCGCGCTCGGCCTCTGCTCCCTTCCAGCACTTTCCTGGGTGCTGTTACCGGGGGCTCAGAGGTTAAGTACGCCGGCTCCAAATGCGGACTTCTGCTTGTGAATCGTGCTCTACCACTTACCAACTGTGTAACCCTGGGCGCGAGATTACCGTTTTCTTTTTTACAAACACCTTATCGAGGTATTGTCCTGCAGTAAACTGCACGTATTTAAAGTGTACACTTTGATGCGTTTTGACATACATATGCTCCCGTGCAACCATCACCAGGATCAAGATCATGAACACATCCATCACCCCTAAAAGTTTCCTTCTCCATCCTCAGACAGCCATTGATCTGCTTCTGGTCACTCTAGATTAGATTGCATTTTCTAGAATTCTGTGTAAATAGAAATCCTACGGTTTATACTCTTTTTGTGTCTGGCTTCTTTCACTCAGCATAATTACTTTGTGGTTCACTCATGGCATTGCATATATCAATCGTTTCTTCCTTTTTATGGCTAAGTAAAATTTATAGTACATTGTATTGGACATGCCACAAGTTGTTTATCCATTCACTTGATGGACGTTTGGGTTGTTTCCAGTTTTTGACTATGCTATGAACTTTTGCATAGGAGTCTTTGTGTAGATATACACTTTCATTTTTCTTGGGTAAATGCCTAGGAGTGGAATGGCCAGGTCATATGGCAGGTGTATGTTTAAAACTTGTTAGGAGGCCGGCCCCGTGGCTTGGTGGTTAAGTGAGCGCGCTCCACTGCTGGCGACCCGGGTTCGGATCCCGGGCGCGCACCAACGCACTGCTTCTCCGGCCATGCTGAGGCCGCGTCCCACATACAGCAACTAGAAGGATGTGCAGCTATGACACACAACTATCTACTGGGGCTTTGGGGGGAAAAAATAAATAAATAAAATCTTTAAAAAAAAAAAAAAAAAAACTTGTTAGGAAACTGCCAAACCACTTCTCCAAGTGGTTGTACCGTTTTGCACTCCCACCAACGGTGCAGGAGAGGTCTAGTTCCCCTGCACCCTCACAGCCACCCCACTACTTGATTTGGTCAGTTCTTTTAATTTTAGCCGATCTAATTGGTGTGTAGCGGTATCTCATTGTGGCTTTAGTTTGAGTTTCCTTAATGACTAATGATATTGAACATCTTGTCATGTGCTTTTTTGCCATTGGTACGTCTTTGATAAATTGCCTGTTCAAATTTCCTGCCCATTTTTTAAAATTTGAGTTGTTTGTTTTCTTATTGGATTTTGAGAGTTCTTTATTGTGGATACAAGCACTTTATCAGATTTATGGTTTGCACGTATTGTCTTTGTATTCTCACAGTGTCTTTCAAAGAGCAAATGTTCTTCATTTTGATGAAATCCCATTTAACAAATGTTTCTTTTATAGATTGATATTTTGGTGTTGTAACTAAGAAATCTTTGCCTAACCCAAGGTCACAAATATTTTTCTCTTATGTTTTCTAGTTTTTGGTTTTACATTTAGGTTTATGATCCATTTTAAGTTAATTTTTTATATGCTTTGAGTTATGGATCCTGTCGACGCAAATAATCTGTAATCAGTCTATAAATCAAAATTGGGGTGAGTTTGTTATGAGCCAGGTCTGAGGACTATAGGCCAGGGGCTTCCTTACCCAAGGAAGGAAGCACACCAAAGAAGAGGAGTGTACAGAGTGATTAAATACTGTCTTGGAACAAAGAGCATACATCACATATGACAGGAATATCTTTTTTACTACTCTCACAAGATGCTTAGCTAGCACAGCAGGTCAGTGGTCACGCGGTGAGCACAGCAGGTGGGTAATCAATCCTTAGTTTCTAGGAAGAGATGCTTCTGCTTAAAGAAATGCTGACATGGGGGGAAAGCCACATCCCTATCTTTAAGGGCATCATTCTTGTCTTTGGGACACTGTAAATGTTTAAAGCGGATGTACAATGCATGCTCAACAGGCCATGTCAGGCCTTTTTGGAAAAACAAGGTCAGGCCAAATTAGTTTTAAACCAAATGGCTTCCTCACATACTCCAATATATCCTATTGCTTTTCATTTATTTATCAATCCAAACTCACTTTTTGCATATGGATATTCAATTATTCCTTTCTCCACTGAATTGCCTTTGCACCTTTGTAAAAAATCAATTGAGCGTTTATGTGTGGGTGTATTTGTGGATTCTCTATTCTGTTCCATTGATCTATTTGTCCATCTCGATGCGGGTACCACACTGTCTTGATGACTGTAGCTTTATAAGTCTTGAAGTCAGGTAATATAAGTCCTCTAACATTAAAAAATATTTTTTTCTATTAACCTTTCTCCCTAAACTCCACTTTTATTCCTCTCCTCCCAATAGTGACCATTTTAATGTGTTAATATGCATTTTTGTTTGTACTTGTTCTTGCAAAAATGTGTGTTGTTGTTTCATCTATATGTATTTTTGTTTTTTTCAACAAACAGTGCATGATTTCACTCATATGTGGAAGATAAACCAACACACGGACAGATAGAACTGTTTGGTGGTTACCAGGGGCTAGGGGGGTGGGGAGGTGGGCACAAGGGGTGAAGGGATGCACTTATATGGTGACTGATAAACAATAATGTACAACAAAAATTTCACAATAAAAATAAAATGTGTGTTCTTGTTTCATCCATATGTATTTTTGTTTTTTTAAATAGTACTATATGCTGTTATCTCATTCTTTTTCTTTCAAAACAGACTGGTTAGTGGACAGTTAATATGCATCCACGTTGCTATGTGTGTACTTAATCTGTAGCTTCTAACCAAAGCTTACTATTCCGTGGCGGGAATCCCCCACGCTTTGTTGTTCCACCGGTGATGGACACTCAGGTTGCCTCCAAGTCCCACCACTACCACCACCTCCCCGAACACGTGAGTGTGCCACACACACACACACATGCAGGGCAAAACAACGAGGTGATGGTGCAGTGAGCATCTCTTCCAACTCAACAGCTCCCTGGCCTGGGCCGGCCCCGTGGCTTAGTGGTTAAGTGCGCCCGCTCAGCTGCTGGCGGCCCGAGTTCGGATCCCGGGCACGCACCGATGCACCACTTCTCCGGCCATGCTGAGGCCACGTCCCACATACAGCAACTAGAAGGATGTGCAGCTATGACATACAACTATCTACTGGGGCTTTGGGGAGAAAAAGGAGGAGGATTGGCAATAGATGTTAGCTCAGAGCCGGTCTTCCTCAGCAAAAAGAGGAGGATTAGCATGGATGTTAGCTCAGGGCTGATCTTCCTCACACACACACAAAAAAAATAGCTCCCTGGCCTGTGGGAAGTTTCTTAGACAACTTAAATATGTGCATAGCCTATAAATCCAGCAATCAGCCTCATGGGTACGTTTCCCAGAATAGTTCCAGCTGCTGTCCGGAGTGGCTGCACCCATCCTCATCTCACCTGCAGTGTGGGAGGCCTCCTATTTCCCTGCATTCCTCACCCAGACATCCTCACCCTTGGCTTTATCTAACTTTTTAATTTTTGCCAAGTTAATAGGTATAAAACGACAGCTTACTGTTTTACTTTGCATTTTGCTGATTACTAATGATTCTGAGCACCTCTTCATATGCTTGTTAGCATTTGGGGCTTACTGTTTGTAAATTGCTTTTTAATATCCTTTGCCAATTTTTAAGAACTTACAGCTCTTTTTTCTAGTTGATTTGCAGGTGTTTCTAGCTACAAATTAATTGCTTTTCAGTTTTAGATACTGCAAATATCTCCACCCGTTCAGCCATCCGTATACCAACTTCTTTCGTGGTGTCCTTTGTTGGCAGAAATCTTATATTTTGGTGTAATAAGATTTATCTTTTTTTCTCTACTTTATAATTTTATGCTTTTGAAGATTTATTTGATTAGTCCCCTCCCACCTCTACCATAAAAATATTCTCTCTTTTCTTCTGTTAACTTTATAGTTAGGTAAATTTAAGACCTAGATGTGAAAGGTCCCCTTGGTATGCAGCATTAGGCGGGAAGTTAGCCCATGAAACTGGACTCCCAGTGTTCACACCTATGGCTTCTGCTACTCATGGCCAGTCACTGGAGTGGGGCTTCCTGGCTGCCCAGACCTTCAGATGGCTTCAGCCCCAGCAGCCCTCTGACTTCAGTCACATACGAGACCCCAAGCGAGAACATTGCCCAGCAGAAACCAGGCAACCCACGGAACTATGAGAAATAGTAGCACATTTTTATTTTAAGCCACCAAATTTTGAGGTGGCTTGTTATACAGGAAAGATAACAGGACAAATAGATTCTGAACAAAGCTGGTACCTGAAGTGGAGTGTTAAGACCGACCGAAAACGTGTAGCATTAGCTTGGGAGCGGAGGTGAGTAGAAGATGGGAGGGAGGGTTCAAAGACGGTAAGGAGGCCTTGGGCTTCCACTGGGATGTAGAAAGCTGGAAAGAGTGTGGCTCCCACACTAACAATGAGAAAAGCTTGGATATACTACAAAATCATCACTTTCCTTCAGCTTGCTAAGGAGCTGAGTTCACAGTGCAGCCAAATGGCCTGAATTCCAAGGGGGCCCCTCCAAGGAGAGACAGACACAGATGTGCAGCCTGGCTCCCTGTGCCAGCACTCGGGGAGGAAGGGGGAGACACACAGCCTCCATAGAAGTGGGGAAG